TCCGTCTTCAGGGTAGAAGGAAAAATATAAGAAATCCGCAGGCGAAGAGACCGTGAGAACCAGTACANTACTAATCTGCAAACAGACACTTGTGCTACATCCATCATAATGCTAAGTCTGACACAAACCAAAGTCACACGTTAAAAGGTCACTCGCAGCTGCAACTACGCTCCAGTCACGTGATTCAGTACGACTCGTCAATGCAAGCGACACGAATTCTGTGACGTTCTTATCGGCAATTCAACCGTTTACAGTGCTTCTGCAATTCATAAAAATATGTATATACGAGGGTTATTTTGAAAGTAACCTCCGTTCATTTTAGGCAACTAAGGTAGCAGCGCGGGAGAGTCACATGATTCATTGCCTTGTAAACCATCACGTAACTAGTCGCCCAGTGTTTGTTCTTCTCTCTACAGAGTGAGTTATGACGTGTCCCGCAATCGATAATCCCGCCACCTGTGAAATTCACGCTTTTATCCGCTTTCTTCACGCTAAAATCATGAGTGCTGCGAAGATCTTTCTTGAATTATGCGCGGCAGTTTACGGCCAAAATGTAATGAGAGAAGGAACTGCAGGCCAATGGTGTAGAATGTTCAAAGATGGGCGGGCGAACAAATGTTCACGATGAAGAGCGAAGCGGTCGGCCGGCCATCTGCAGTCTGCTTTTACCGGTTCTCACGGTCTCTTCGCTTGCAGATTTCTTATATTTTTTCTTCTACCCTGAAGATGGAGGCGATACGTTCCTCCGAAACGTCGGTTAACACCACATATACACGGTGCCAAATCCCAGAAGACTGCTTTTTTCATAGTCACCGCCGTGAAAGCCTCAAATCTTACAAAAACATTTTTTCTAACTAATGAACATGCAGTTGATTTTAAATAGAGTACCTAATATTTTCAGTCATTACTTGTTCTCTTATTTTTGAAGAAAACAAGCAGTTATCGGAGAACAAGTGAGCCCTTCAGGTGTCAAAATAATTGATGTATTTGTAAAGCGGACTTATCAATTGAAACTCTGATATTAATGAAAACATTTTTGAATATAAAACAGCATTGTTTCACACACAGTTTTTATATTAGAAATTCATACGAATTTTAAAATATTCTCCCAAAGCAAAGTGGCCAAGGCATGAAGGTGACCACTCATCTCCGTATAGTGCCGTGAATAAGGGAACAGTAAGCTCTATCTCCACTCCCCCACAAGCCAGCAGGTCGCAGGTTCGATTCGCGATGAGGTCATTGAATTTTTCAATTGACCTAATCTTTCCAGCCACACTATGACCCTAGGGTCGACTCAGTCTCTAACAGAAATGAATACCAAGAATATTCCTGGGGGTAAAGAGTGGCCGGCGTGAAAGGGTGAGAGCCTCGCTGTCATCTATGAGCCGATTATGTAGAAAATGTGGGAACATCGACGGATCAGAACCCTATGGGCTTCCACGGCCAGTTACAGGATAGCTTTACTTTCTTTTACCTTTTACTAGCAATGATCGCAGTTGGAATGTTTCTGGAACTAGAATAAAGTCATTCATATAAATCAACTGGTGGAGCTGCGTAACGTCACGTGAATTGGGAGAATGTTGATGAGTGGTGAGATGGAAAGGATTTGAAAGGAAGAAGTCAGTGTCTATTTTAAGGGACTATGTTAGTATAAGTATGTACCTGGAGGTACTGAGGAAAGCAATGAAAAACCTTGAGCAGAATTGTTGGTACTCTGATTATAATTTGAAGTTTTCATCTCATGAGGAAAATGTGATACAGTACAAAAATAATCATGAAATATAAAGAGTTCAGGTCAGTATTCAAGTAAAGTAGTAATTCTGATTAGTTGATAACACACAAACATGCGCTCACACACACTCACACACAAAGTAATATATGTATGAATAGGGATTTTTTCCGGTAATTCTGACATCCCTGTTCATATTCAGAAGGGAAAACTTAATTTAAGAAGCTATTACTAAAAATGTAGGTCATGCTGTAGTGTAGTTGGTTAAGGCACTGTGCAACACGTTCGATTCCCAGTGGGGTCATTGGGTTTTTCATTAACCTTATCCATCCAGGCGCACGATGGCCCTGGGGTTTACTGAGACTCTAACAGAAATGAGTACCAGGAATCTTCTTGGGGGGTAAAGGGCGGGCGGCGTATAAGGCTGACAACCTCACCACCTTGACGTCTCACAATCCTATGGGCCTCCTCAGCCTGTTACAGGGGTAATTTTCCTTTTACATTTTTTACTAAAAATTTTGGGTTAATTGTGATAGGAACAAGTATAAAATGCAAAGTTCTCTTTTTCATTATTTTCAAAGTTTGTTTCTGTTTAAAACGAAGAGTATGGCTCTCTTACCCTTTTAATTCTTACGTATGAGTAGTGGCGCCTTCCTTTAAAGATGAAAGATGTCTCTCTGTCCCAATGAAGTGGAATATTCTTGTGGGTAAAGGGCGGCCGGCGTGTAGGGCTGATAACCTTGCCACCATCTATGAGCCGATTGTCTGGAAAATGTGGGAACCTCAACATCTCACAACCATATGGACCTCCACGACCTGTTAAAGGGATACATTTACTTTGTTTTTTACTTTTACTGTCCCAAATGAAGCAGTTTTTAGTGAGGGGTACATATATCACAATTTAAAATTCTTTAAAGGTTTCTGGGTTTTGAAACCGAAGAAATTAACAGATGACTAGATGGGACAGACACTGTGTCAATGATAAATTCTTCGTGTTACATGGAAAAATAGAACAAGCAGAAGTTGGTATGGTCGAAATGTTTTTGAAGAACATCAAATAGCGCAAGAGCTAATCAACTAAGTGTCAATTAATATGCAATTAGTATTAGCATATATTTGGTATGTTTTTTATTTATATGTAATACTAGATTGGAGAGTTAAAGTATCATTATAAATGTTTCCTTCCCAAATTATAATTCAATTATTGGTCAGCAGGAAAGTGGAGTACCAATTATATGAACGGTAGTTTTCAAAGGATTGATATCTGGATTATAGTTACACACATAAATTGAAAATAAAGGATAAAGAATTACTATTTACCATAGCATTATGACATGTGCCATAGCCTGAGCAATTCTTTTCGCCTTGTAAAAAATTTTCAATTGAAATCAAAACCGTCTTTATGCACGCTTTGCATGAAACGTATAAAGCATACACAAAATGTCCAATTCATGGTGCACATCTTTTCATCTATTCCCACGTTTTATCTCCCAAACCACTTCATGAATTTCTGTTACTTTTTATGGAAGTTCTACACTAAAATCTGTTGAACTGTAATTGACTTTTTCGGTCCACTTTACAAAGAACTTATACCAAATATCTTAACATATCATCTTCTTCTATGCCTTCAAAGGATAGGCTTACAAGCCTGTGTTAGCTTCCGTCTAGCATGTATGCAGTATATCTTTATCTGTTTTTGCTTCTGGATGGTATTTCAGAATATATTTTCATCATCTTTCTTCTGGAATTGTGTATAGATTTTCTGGCTAGTTTAATTTTTCTTTTACCAAGAATATTGTGACATGTAGCGCAACGAAGGACCCCTACCTCCCCAGCGGCACGTGGCGGTAACGTAGCGCTTCGGTAATAGGCGAGTCATCACCCCGCCACTCTCCCCGCGGTGACGTCATGAGCGGAGCCGAAGTTAGCCGAGTCCCCACATCCTGGTAGCTATGCAACGCGCAACGCGCGGTGACGCGGAACCGCTTCCTACTGTGACGTGGCAGGAAACAGGCACCACTACTGATATATAAGGGAACTGCACAGCAGCTACCAGTCAGTTGTAAAGTAACAGTCGCCGAGTCAGTTGTTATGTGGCTACGGCAGAGTTGTAATGTGACAGTCGCCGAGTGTGTTATCAACAGTTCTCAAGGCAGTTGGAGTATAGCAGCCGTCGCGGAAAGAAGAACCGGACATGTGTGTGATTGTGTAATTGGGAGTGTGATCCAGTGATACATAGCTCCCCTACTGTAAACGTGCAGACTACTGAACACAGAGTGAGCTGATTTGCGCATAGGGTTATATATCGTGAAACCCCGCAACAGTGGTAACAGATTAATGCGATTAGGGTTATAAAGTGTGAAACCCCGCAACTGTGTGATAAGTAATTGTAGCCGTTACTTGTAGATTGTTCAATAAACCAATTAACGATCTCTACGGCGTATTCAGTAACCCAACACGTTACATTTGGTTTATTGAGTTTGGTCTCGTATTTTGTTTATTTATCCTACCTAATCAAGTACTTTGACACTTCTTCAAAGCATAATTTCATCAGATTATATGTTACTTTTGTCTCTCTTTTTTAAAATCGAAATTTGATTTCCAGAAAGTGGATTAGAAACTGGCAATGTTATCTAAAATCTAATAAGTTACCTTCCTTAATTTACTCTTCCTGGGTTCTGTCTGGTTGTTGTTACCTAACTTCGGCAAGGATCGCATAGAAAACATCGCGCCCAGCAATTCTTCCATTGTTGCGTGCATATCTCTTGTTAGAAATGGGCCGGGTATTGTTAACTTTTACTGGCCGCTGTCTAGCGACAGACAGCTTAAGTAATTGTGTCACATTGCTCCTTCCTTAAGACTGCTCATTCGAGTAGCTCATAAGCGTCTTGCCATTCCTTCTTTTGATTTATGGGGACAGAACTTTGGAAAACGGCCGGTACACCTGCAGCGCTGCAACTAAGCTGTCGGTAGTGTGTTCTTTCTTTTTTTGTAGGGCAAGGGGGGTAAGGGAATCTCCTCCACAATGCCCTATTACTCGTTATTACTCTACTGTTAACTTTACGACTTCCAGCTCGAGGGTCTGCATGAGGGCCTCATCAAGTGCTTTCTTGCAGTGCGCGAAAGGCACATGGATGAAGGCTTCAATGACAGTGGCAAACTCCTGCATGGGTTCACCAAGGACTTGTGTATCTGTTTCCAGTTGATTATCTATTGTTATGAGTATGAAGTTCAGTGAAATTAACAGTCAGTTTCATTATATTTGTTTCAGATACACGAAGACAGTAGTGGCAGCCACTGTAGATGCCCAGAAGTACAACCCAGAGCTGACCTGGACTCAGAGGAGTCCTGATCCTAGGATTGCTCAGCTCAGTGACAAGCTCAGACATATCAGACAGGTGGGTGTGCCATACCAAGTCCATCTTAGCTTGTATCTGTACACGTTCATCAGCGACATGAAACAAGTTTTGTGTTAGACGTAAAATAATGTTTGTTGAAAAATTAATGAAAACTAATTTTAAAAAGCAAGAGAACATTTTATTGGTCTCACAAAATAGAATAGTTAATTCATGTCAGTGAAGATTTATAGAATGGTATTCTGGATTATATTGCTGTGTAGTTATGTAGTTGGCCACTAACATTTCAGAGAACATACTGCTTCCATCTTCAAGGTAGAAATGATCCAGTCTGGGAAGGGGGCTGGCTGTGCAAAAGACATGAGAATAAATGCTTCATGGAGAATAAGAGGAATGTCCAACAAATGAAAGGGCAAATGTGTTACAAATGAGACCAAGAAGGGCCAAGTGGACAGAAGAAGTAAGAGGCACTGAAAATGGAAGTTACAAAAGGATACTTATGGAGATCATGGGTGCATAAAGTCACATCAGGACTTGTTCTTAGGTAGAACATTTTTCATTTCATCAGGATGTGGATGAGAGGTTTCCCTAGCCTCCACAGATCAAAACCAGCTTCCCTGTTCATGTTTGGATGGAGCTCAGTGATTCTTGCTTTCCTGATTATCCAGTCCATATGTCTGAATTTTCTGACTAGGATGCTGGTGTTCTGTTGCAAGTTGCAACATCCAGGTTTATGTCATGTTCCGCTATGGCCAGGTAAGTCAACGATAAAGCTTGCTTACTGTCATGAGGGACAAGCTTAGATTGAGAGTGTTTTCCTGAGAGGGAGAAAGTAACAGTAGGTTGGCGTAAATCCCATGATGAGGAGCTTCATAATCTGTGCTCTTTACCGTATATTATTTGGGTGATCAAATCAAGGAGGCAGTTGTTAGCGTATGAATGCAAAATTTTAGTGTAAAGAAATGGAGGGAGGAAACCATGTGTCAGATATGGATTGGAGACTAATATTATTAAAATGGATAGAGAAATAGGGTTTGGAAATACAAACTTGATTCTTGTGGCTCAGTGAAGAGATCACTGCAGTGATATGTTGTAAACATGGTGAAAAATGTCTATGGTCTATAAAAATCAGGAATTTTTTAAATAGCTGAGTAACATACTTCCGATTGAAGCTCCTTACAGACAGCATCAAAAATTGCAAATATTAGGAAATGACAAGCAGCAAATAAAGATTACAGAACTTCACACAAACAGTTGAATGCAGACATCACCACAAACTAATACAGCCATAGGGAGCTAAGGAAGAAAAAAACTCAGTTTTTATATCAAAGAATTTTAATATTAGGTTGAGTCTCAATTTCAAATTTAGCTTTAATATTGAATCAGCGTTTTTACTTGTCAGAATTATCTGACAATGCAATGATAGTACATCAACTTACCTACTAATAACAGGTACAACACACAATAACTGAATATGGCTCGATAGTGGAAACATGTTCTTCTGCTCATTCATTTGATGTCCACTGTAATGACGAAGTAACTTTGTAGTTAATATACAATTACAGTAGGTGTAACAGTAGTATTCAGGCAGTCCACCTGTCACATAGTCCTACAGATCTCTTGCCTTGAATTGCAAATACATTACACAAACACATGCACATGAGCATGAAGTCTACATAGCTTTGGGGGTCGTCATGTCATTAACTAACATCGCTTGCAGCCTTCCATTCGCTAAAATAGGAGACACAAAGAACCTCAGTTGGTCATCAAGCAAGATAAGTGTTCTTGCCCCCCCCCTCCCCCCCAATTCTTTGAAAAGTATTTACGATGATGTAAAGAAGAAATGTTCTCTTATTACTACATTCTGTTAAAGAGGTACCTTCTTAATGAACAAGGACAGAATGTTAATTGTATATATGAATTGTGCACCCACATATCCAATTTTTAAGTTTTATTAAATCTAGGACTGCCATGGCAAAAGCTGCATTTAGCAAGAAGAAGAATCTTTTTACCAGCAAATTGGACTTAAATTTGAGAAAGAAACTAGTGAAATGCTACATTTGGAGCATTGCTTTGTATGGGGCTGAAACTTGGACACTTAGGGCAGTAGATCAGAAACACCTGGAAAGCTTCGAAATGTGGTGTTG